GAGGAGGAGGAGGAGTGCGCGAGGAAGAGTACACGAGCAGCAGGAGGATGGTGCGGCTGCCACATCGCAGGCGGCTGCGTCGGGCGCCGCCCCTCGTGCGCCCGCCCATTGACGGGCTCGGTGCGGGGGCGCCCGCGCCCGCGCGGGATGGGCCAGAGCTGCAGCCAGGGCGGCGGATCGGAGCCCCGCCGACCGCCCGCGTGCGACCCCTCCTCCTCCTCCTCCTTCCTCTCGTCGTTCTCCTCCTCGTGCTCCTCCTCCCCCTCCTCCTCCTCCTCCTCCTCCGCCTCCTCCTCCTCCTCCTCCTCCTCCTCCTCCCTCGCTCTTTATCACCATCCGCCTCCTATCCTTCTCGCCGTCGCCCTCCCAGCCCTCGTGCTCCTCCTGCCCCTCTTCCATTCCGTTTCTTAAGAATAGTTCATCCAACTCGAATCATGGAACGAGGCCGCGTGGGCGGGGGGGCCGACAATCACCAAACAGTCGAGAACCGATGTAATCAGCAAAGACTGTGGCGGCCCGAGATGCCGCGAAGGCGGGGAGGGGCCCGACGACCGCCGAACAATCAAACACGGATAGAATGAGCCAAGGTTTTCCTTTTCCATTTTTTTTTGTGGGCGTGGGCGGAACCCAGCACTTTTTCGAAGCCTTCCTACTTCATGTTTGTTTGCGACTTCTTACGACCAGTCGGTAGGGGACAGGAACTCTGGACGAAGCCAAACAGGAGGGAGTGCCCCAGGTTTGGTCGGGGGTTTCCACGCCGAGGGGACGCCCTAACCAGTTACATCGCCCCCCTTCTTTGTTGTGGTGGGGGGCCTCCTCCCTCTGCGGGACATGGCGAGGGAGGAGGTCCGGCAGGAGGGAACGACGAGGTGGAGGGAGGCAGGAGGCGAGGGTGAAGGACAGGGAGGAGGGGTGAGAAGGGAAGGGGGGAGGGGGAGGGGGGAGAAAGGAGGGAGGAGGCAGATGATGATGCTGATGCTGATGATGATGATGATGATGATGATGATGATGATGATGATGATGATGATGATGATGATGATGATGATGATGATGATGATGCTGATGATGATGCTGATGATGCTGATGATGAGCTGATGCTGATGCTGAAGCTGATGCTGATGCTGATGCTGATGCTGATGCTGCTGCTGATGATGATGATCATGATGATGATGATGATGGTGGTGGTGGTGATGATGATGACGATGATGATGAGGATGATGATGAATATGATGATGATGATGATGATGCTGATGATGATGGTGGTGGTGGTGGTTGTGATGGTGGTGATGATGATGATGCTGATGCTGATGATGATGATGATGATGATGATGGTGGTGGTGGTGGTGATGATGATGATGCTGATGATGATGATGTGATGATGATGATGATGATGATGATGATGATGATGATGATGATGATGATGAGATGATGATGATGACGTGACCGATGACGATTTTGTGTGATGATGACGATGACGATGATGATGATGCTGAGATGATGATGATGATGATGATGATGACGATGATGATGCATGATGAGAGATGATGATGATGATGATGATGATGCTGATGATGATGATGATGATGAGTATGATTGATGATGCTGAGCTGTGATGAGATGATGATGATGATGATGATGATGATGACGATGATGATGATGATGATGATGCTGGATGCTGATGATGCTGATTGATGATGATGCTGCTGAGGCTGCTGAGCTGTGATTATGATGTGATGCTGCTGCTGAGGGATGATGTGATGATGCTGCGCTGCGATGTGCTGCTTGATGCTGCTGTGAGCTTGCTGTGCTGATGCTGATGATGAGGAGGCGGCGGCGGAGGAGGGCGGAGGAGGAGGCGGAGGCACGATGATGCTGATGCGATTTGATGCGATGATGATGATGATGATGATGCTGCTGATGTGATGTATGCGCTGCTGATTGATTATGATGTGTGATGCTGATGAGATGATGATGCTGAGATGCTGATGATGATGATGTGATGATGATGAATGATGATGATTGATGCTGATGATGCTGCGGCGGCGGAGGCGCGGAGGAGTCGGCGGCGGAGGCGGCGGAGGAGGAGGAGGAGGAGGAGGAGGAGGGAAGGAGGGAAGTAGCCAGGAGGCGGAGAGGAGGGCGTGCAGCCACCCCGGAGGGCCTCCGTGGGCCACCTCCGTCCAGGGCACGACGGGCGCCTCCCCTTCCTCTCCACTTCCACCTTCCTCCTCCTCCTCCTTCCTCCTCCATCCTTCCCCCTCAGTCCTCCTCCTCCTCTTCCTCCTCCTATTCCTACTCCTCCTCCCTCCTCCATCCTCCCTCCTCCTTCCTCCTCCTGCTCTTCGTCCTCCACCTCCTCCTCCTCCTCCTCCTCCCTCCTGCTCCTCCTCGTCCTCCATCCTCTTCCTTCCCCCTCTACGAGTCTATGGATGCAAGACATGGGTCAAAGACGCATCAGCACTGGAACCGAGCAGCTGGTGGTCTTAGCGGGCCACGGCCTCACCGACGAAGCCCAAATGGGCGCGCGCCGTGCGTTTTTTCGCGCACGGCTCCGAGGATCCGGCGCTCGTCGCGTCTCGTTCCTTGCCCCCCACTCTGTGTGGCGGAGCGCCGTGGGAGGCTTCGAGCCTCGCGGGCCGTGCGTGTCTGCTGAGAGGAGCCGCTCGCGCAGGGCCGTCGACGGCATGAGGTTGCCGCCTCGGCCGCATGCTGCGTCCGCCGCCGCCGCCTCCTGCCGTGTGGACTGGTGGCCAGGCGAGTCCATTCCTACGTAGGTGGCTGCTCCCTCTTCGTCCTCTGCCTGCGTCCACCTCCTCGTCCTTTTTCTTCGCCTCCCTCCTCCATCTGCTCCTCCCCCGCCCCCTCCGCTTCCTCCTCCCATCCCGTCTCCGCCCAATCCTCTGTGAGACGCCAGCTGTACACCACGCCGATCCTGGCCTGGCCCATCCTGGCCCCAGGATGGGTGTGCCTCCCTGGCAAAGACAGGAGGGCATGTACTTTGACTGGGCCCAGGATTCGGAGTGAGGAGGAGCGACACCACCATTATGTGCCTCCAACGAGGATCGGCCACGCGCAGAGGGGGGAGGGGGAGGGGGGAGGGCTTCTTAGAAGCACCCCTGCTTCTTAGAAGGCGCTGGCCTTACATTTACAAATAAGGCCCGCGCCTTCTAAGACGCAGGGGTGCTTCTAAGAAGCCCTTCCCGCCTGTCAGGCGATCGCAAACATGGATCAAGGGGGCGTGGATTAGCGACGGGTCCCGTTTCCAGGGGAAATCGCGGATTTCCGCCGCCGAACGAGGCGGCACCGGCCGCATTTTGGGCAGGGCACCTCCCCCGATCCATGGCTTTGGCAGCCGCGCGCCAAATCCATGGATCGCTAATCCATGTTTGCGCGCCCCCGAGAGTTGGTCTCAGCCCATTGTTGCCCCCCATCACGTCGCGAGCTCCGTGCGAGAAACTGCGTGCGGGAGCCCTTCGGCCCTGCCCTCCCACACTGGTCCAGAGCGCGGCTTCCTCCATCCCGACGTCGCCGATGCACCGCCGTTGCGTCGTTGATGCGGCGCGATCCTTCCCTCTCTGCGCGTAGCCGAGAGGAGGCCCAGGATGCCTCCCCGGACCCCGAGTCGGATGCCTCGGGTGGGGCGCCGCTCAACAGGGGGGGCCACTCCTCCGGCAGGGGCCCTGTCTGGCTCCTGCCCCTGGTGGTGGTGCCGCTGCCTCTCTCCCTGAGGGACAGGCCTGGGATGAGGAGGAGGAGGAGGAGGAGGAGGAGGAGGAGGAGGAGGAGGAGGCGCAGGAGGAGGAGGAGGAGGAGGGAGGAGGAGGAGGAGGAGGAGGAGGAGGAGGAGGAGGAGGAGGAGGAGTACGAGGAGGAGGAGGAGGCGCAGGAGGAGGAGGGAGGAGGCTCGGAGGAGGCTCGGGGGAGGAGGAGGAGGAGTACGAGGAGGAGGAGGAGGAGGAGGAGAGGAGGAGGAGGAGAAGGAGGAGGAGGAGCAGGAGGAGGCGGAGGAGGAGGAGGAGGAGGAGGAGGAGGAAGAGGAGGAGGAGGAGGAGGAGGATGAGGAGGAGGAGGAGGAGGAGGAGGAGGAGGAGAGCAGGAGGAGGCGGGAGGAGGAGGAGGAGGAGGAGGAGGAGGAGGAGGAGGAGGAGGAGGAGGAGGAGGAGGAGGAGTACGAGGAGGAGGAGGAGGAGGACGAGGAGGAGGAGGAGGAGGAGGAGGAGGGGTTGCATAATCGGTGCTTCCCCGCGTCCGCGAGGAGTCCTGGGAGCGCGCCTTCTTCTTCTCGCTCGGCGGCCACCTGTCGTCGTCCCGCTTCTACAACGACGACGAGGCGCACCCCGATTGACGACGGCGCTGGCGGATGTGACGGCGTCGGCGACGGCGGCGGCGACGACGCTGACGACGGCGGCGGCGGCGGCGGCTACGACGACGAAGAGAGGGGGAGAATCAGGATGGGGGGGGAAGGGCCATGGGTTCGAAGGATCTTTTCCATCCCGAAGTCGTCGATGGATCGCAGATGTGCTGGCGATGCGGCGAGCACCCGTGCAGCACGGAGTCAGCCCCTACCGCAAGACGAGGGAGCTTCCCCCAAGCATCTTCCGATGTAGTTTTTCCGAAGGGCGCCCCCCGTGGTCACGGCCCCTTCCACGGGGCCACTGTTTCGCCCCAGGTCCGTTCTTGGTTGTCCCGCGGGGCCCGATGTAGCGGGCCCTGGAGGCCGAACTCGAACTCGAGACACTCGGATTGAAGACATCAGATCGTCGAATATCTGGGATCTCTAGCCACAAGCTGCGGGCACGCGCGTTGATCGCCACCGGTTGCGCTATACGGATGGCCTCGGCGTAGCGCGCTGCGGGGGTCCCTGCTGGTCTTTACATCGCACGTGTTCGCCATCGCGACCCGGGGTTGGGGGCGGGAACCGTCTGGGCCCCCGCTGAAACCCCCTTACCTAGACTTCAGTCGGGCATGCCCCCCCAAAATAGGCTGGGGACGATTTTTTTGACTATGTTTGACCATTTTGGGATATGTTTTGACAAGTTTTTGATTTTTCTTCCAAAATCCGCCTGCAGGGGGACATGCCCGACCTAAAACTAGACATTCTCGCGTCGTGAAGAAATCACGACGGGAGGCTTTCGACAAGTTTTTTGATCTCCGTAGGCTCTTACCGGGCCCCAGGTTGTAGCACAAACGACTCGGGATGAGGAGCCGGTTTCGGGGAAGGGGGTCCAGTCCTCAGGGGAGCCACTTTGCGAGAAAAAGCACGACGTCGCCCGCGTGCTTCTCAAACCAGGCCGAAGCCCGCCTCCCCTCCCTTCTGCCCCCCCCCTCTCCTTCGCTGCCCCCCTTGCGCCTCACCCCCGCCTCCCCTCTCCTCGGGCCGTGCCTCCTCTGGAGGAAGGCCGCCCGGCTGCCAGCTTCTGGCTCCCTCCTCCAGCCGGACCCTGTCGCGTGGGCTGGAGCGGCCAAGCTGGGCTCGAGGGAGCGCAAGGCTCGAGTGCCCCAGAACTCGGGCTTGCCGACGCTTTTTGACGAGGGTGACCCGGATCATGACGGTCCAGTTTTCGTGTGACGTTTGCAGCGGGAGTTCGCGTCAAATTTCAGTTTGGGTCTCGTCATGTTCATGCTGGCCCCGCCAGGCCAATCCGAGTCCCCCGTCCGTACCTGAGTCTTACGTCTCCCCTATGAGAGCGGCCAAGCTGGGCGAGAGATGGCGCTTTCTGGGTCCCACCACTCGCGGGCCATCCTGACATGACTTGGTCCTTGATCCTTTCGGGGGCAACGTTCGGGGGGATGGGCTCAGGGCGGGATGCGTCGACCCCCGACGATCGCCCATTCACCGCTCATAGAGGCCCGATAGCCCCGCCCCCCCCCAGGAGCGTGCGGTTTTGCCATGGGCGGTCGGCGATCTATCGGCGATGTATCGCCGCTTCCAGGCCGATGCTTCTACCCCGAGCTGGCCCCCCCCTGCAGCTGGACCGAGGTATAAGATCGAGGTCGGTTCGGGGAGGGTGCCGTATTGTTTTTCGTGTTTGTTGGATGTTCTTGTGCATCCTGGGGAGGGTACCCTTGGATGTTCTGTGCGTTTTGGCCAGCGGAGGGTCCCGTAATATTTAAGGATGTTTTTCTGGCCTAGGTCCGTCTGTATCGTTCCACCTCATCCTTGTTTCCTCCTCTAGTCCTGGGTTCCCTTTATTATGAGGCACCTGCGCTCTAAACTCGTTCAGACATACCCAGAACAACCATACCCAATAACGACCACTCTAAGCTCGTCTAGGCATGCTCGAGAGTGCTCTGTCACAGGTGCCAATGTACACTTCTCACGCACGCCCAACAATCCTTCACGCCCGCCTCACGCACGCAGGCCTAATTTGGCCTCTCAGGGTCCCAAATTACCCTGGCGAAGAAACCAACCCATCTAACGCGCGTGGGGAATATCAACCAGACCGCTCAATGCACAAGAACTCGCTATGGAGTTCCGCAGTGCCCATGGGAACTCCGCTGGAGAACGTCGGACCAGGTTCAGCGCGCACTCACGCGACTCAAATCAAGCTTGGGCAGTGTACAATGCATGCAGCGCGGACCACGAGGGCGAGGGAAGGGGAAGCAGGAGGAGGGATCATTTGAGGAACGGTTCATAGGCACAATTTGCCGATGGGCAACCTCACATCTGAGAGCAGTAAGACACCTGCAGGACAATAGGGCCGACAAGATGTATGGACTAACAGCTGTCAGAGGGCCCGATGGGCAATCTCGCAGAGCAGTAGCGATATCACAGACCGACAAACAAGGGCACACGAGCCTTACTCGTGGTCAAGAGTGGGGAATGATCAGAGGGCTCGATGGGCAACCTCAACGTTAAGCCACACCGCTCCGCCGGACCTCCCAAACGCGCACTAGAACGGCGACGGTTTCGCAGTTGGCAGCCCTCACTAGCAGCGGATTCTCTGGGAACAGGAAGCCGTTTTTGTCACTGGAGCCTTGGGTGAGCCAGAATGGACCTGAGGAACCATGCAGACGCTACTACTGGGGCCTTCGCAGTACCTCCCTTTGGGGTCACGAAACGTGTGAGGGGTGTGCCAGAGTGGACCCGAGTAGCCATGCGGACGCTACCACTGGGGCCTTCGGTGGACCTCCCTGTGGTGCCACGAAGCGTGCGAGGGGTGAACCGAAATGGAGGATGGACCCGTGTGTGAACGCAACCATTGGGTATTTGGGTGGAGCTCCATGTGGAGCCACAGAACGTGTGAGGGGTGTGCCGAAATGGAAGGTGGAACCGCATGCGAAAGCAGCCACTCGAGCCTTCGGTGGAGCTCCCGATGGGTTCACGAAGCGTGTAAGGGGTGTGCCGAGATAAGGGGGCGTACTGCATGCGAACGCAGCCACAACTGCCTATGGGGCCACGAAACGTGTGACGCTGTGCCGCAATGGATGGTGGAGCTGCATATGAACGCAGCCACTGGGGCCTTGGGTGGAGCTCGCTATGGGGCCACAGAACGTGTGCGGGATGTGCCGAAATGGAGGGTGGAACCGTGTGTGAACGCAGCCACTGTTAGCTCTTTGTGTGGTCACGAAGCGTGTGAGGGGTGTGCCGAAGCGGAGGGTGGAACGCCATGCGAACGCAGCCACTGGGGCCTTCGGTGGAGCACCCTACGCGGAAGAAGGCGGGGGAACGAGGAGACGCGGGGCGGCGCTGTCTCCTCAGGACGAGGACCCAACACCACAGGATGGCTGGGAGCCACTGGCAACCGAGCTGGAGGCCCTCCGCTCCGCTCCGCGCCTCCACGAGAGGGGCCCGCCCAGGCGGGGGACGAGGAGCGCGAGGAGGTGAAGTTCCGGCTCTGCCGCGCGAAGTTCCTGTGCCAGCTCTGCGGCCTGGTCTATGCCGACGGGGCCTTCTGGACGGACCGGGCGACGAATCGGCACGCTCGAGCCGGGCACGGAAGGAGTGGGCACACGATGCCCAAGATCAGGCATGAAGGGGGCGTGGACTGGCGACGGGTGCCGCTTCCATGGGAGATCGCGGATTATCGCCGCCGAGCGAGGCGGCACTGGCTGTATTTTCGGGAGGGCACCTCCCCCGATCCATGTGTGCGCGCCCCCGACAAGAGCAGCTCTGGTCCTTTCTGGGCAGGGACCGCTGCTGGTGTCGCCGCGGATGTTGTCCGTTTGAGATAGAGGGTCGCCTGCCCAACAGCGGCCGCTGTCGGCTTTGGACAGCGGTCGCTGTTGGGCATCTCGCGACTCTTTTTGCCGTACTTCTTTCGGGCCTCCAAACGAACCTCCGTACCTCTTCTTTCTTTCGGGCGTACTCCTTTTCCGGACTTCTCCTTTCTTTCCGTTTCTTTCCCGCTTTTCTTTCCCGCACCCCTTTCCGTACCTCCTCGCCTTGCAATTCCCCCCCCATGGCTGCTCCTCTGCGTCCTCCCGCTCCAGCCCCAGAGCCTCCGCGACCGCCCCCCTCGCCCTCGCCCTCCTCCACGCTCTCGCCCGCCGTTCCCCCCCTCCACGCTGGTACTCCGCTCCCCCCTTCTCCTCTCCCCCTCCTTCCCTTTCAACCCCCTCCTCCTCCTCCTCCTGACTCACACTCAAGGCCCCCCTTCTCACTCCTTCCTCCTCCCCCCCCCCCTCCCACTCCCAATCGTCCTCGCGCGCGTGCGCGCGGCTCAGCCCGACAGATACGGGCGCGCGCCTGCTGCTGCCCCATTAGGGGCCAACCTTTTCCTTGCCTTCTCCTCGGCGCGCGCGCGCGCCGGCGACCTCGCTTTGACGCCACGGCGGCGCGCCTGGCCGCGACGCGTTTTTCGACGTAGCTTTGCGCTCGAACTTGTAATTCTTAGATCTTGCACGTCCATTTGCAATCGGGCTTGTGTTCATGCGCGGCGCGGGCATTTGCTCCCCCAGTTCTGTCGAGTCAATCTGCTGACACTGTGTGCATCTTAAGCTGTGCGAGAGCAGCAAAGATACGAGCGCGCACGTGAACGCACTGACTGCGCGGGTCCGCGTGCACTCGTCCAGGTGCAGCACGCTGGAGCTGCAACAATATACGCACAGACTTGCGACAGTTGGCTGCCTGCGCTTGGGCCAGCCATTGAGCGGCCCAAGCTGTCTTCGCCATGCTTCAGGTTGGTCGGCAGATGCCGAGCTCCGAATTTCCGAAAGAGAGAGAGAGAGAGAGAGAAACATGCCCGACTCCTTCCACTCTTCCCGTCCCCCCTTACACTCCCACTACACTTCAAACATAAGTTGCCTGCCCAACGGCGGCCGCTGTCGCTTGTGGAGAACGTTTGCTTTTGGACATCGTGCCCATTCTCTCCGTACCCACTTCCAGAAATAATGTGATATTATGTGTTGAACACCGCGTTGGCCCTCGGGGACTCCGCCTACCCCCGATGTAGCCGCGCGTGCTTAGCGCGTTGGGCCAAAAGAAAGGACCTCTTCATTGCGAGAGACACGAGATATCTACAACATGTAAGCCAGCGTGGACCCCAAGCAGTGTGTTTCTGACAATGTATGGTTTGCAGTCTATGTATAGGAATCTATGCAGTGCAATGTATATGGTGCACTCTATGTTGGGCAATATAGACTGTGCAATCTATGTTGTGCAGTATCTGTTGTGCACTCTATATGGTGCAACCGATGTAGCGCAATCGACGTGGGGCAACTTCAGTGGTGCACTGCCATCTGTGTTGTGCTATCTGTCGAAGGCGCCTACGGTGAATCACCGCCGCCCCCTGCCTTTTTAAACAGCGCCTCCGTGGACGAACTATCGGACCAGGTGTTCCCCGGACACGTGGACAAATACGGAACAAACATGAACAAGGAAGACATTACTATGAAGACGAATAAGTATACAAGGAGAAAGATCAAACCAGAGATCTATCAGGGCTTTCCTGAAGTTCATCTCGGCGGTTTGGAGTCTCTTATGTCGTTCGAGGCTATCTTTGCGCCGTCCTGGGCCATCTTGGGGCCGCCATGGGCCGCCGTTCATACATCTTCCCTTCTTTTTGGGAAGTCAGTGGGTCTCCGCCAAAGACAGCTCGCTTGATGTTGAGTCTTTTACTGGAGTTTGCTCCCCGAAGCTGCCTACGCACGGTTTGGGGAACTCTCGCGGGAGAGTGATCGTCACGTCATTGGCGAGGGCGTTTTGTTGACGTACGTTGCCTGTGCTTCCTTTCTGCGTCCCAAACAAACGAGACAACCAAAGATACGTTCTTCCTCTGTCTCCTTTGGCCCTGGTGATTTTTGTAAGTCAACGTGATCATTCGCGGAGCTTGCGGGCGTATGTGTGGTATTTTTTACCAGTTCCCATGCCCGTGGTAGTCGATTTTGGCAACCACGTTGCCCCCTGCGTTCTGCTGCTTGCACTTGCACATGCATGTGTGTATATATATATACATATGTATGTATGTATGTATGTATGTGTGTGTGTATGTATGTATGTATGTATGTATGTATGTATGTATGTATATATATATATATATATATATATGGGACAACCGAATCCGTTCGATTCCGAGGCTGTGCATGGCCATACCTAGTTCGTCTGGATGTTGGGCCGTCCTGTGTGGAGGTCCCGGAGAGCGTGGACAAATGTCTCGAAGGCGTCGTGGTGGTCGGTGCAACCCCGACGCGCGGAGGAATTGGCGGTCCGTCGGCCTTGCCCGCCGCAGTGTGTGCACGAGTGGGGATGCCCGCTTCATTGCCGACGTCGCGGGCGGCCTGTCCGCCGATTCCCACGTGCCTTCGGCCCACTTTCGGCGGCGCTGCGTGCTGTTGCTTGAAGACCATCGGCGGCGGAGCTTGCGCTTTGCACGCTGTCTGGGGGAAAATGCGCCTCGACTCGAACGGAACGGCGGTGGAGCTCAGGCGCGCTAGGGCTTCCTCGATCTGAAAGCTCCTTTTCCAGCGTCCGCCCGTGGGATCTTGGAACATTGGCTTGGCTGGGCTTGGAAAGACGCGGTGGGCCGCCTTGACTTAGATGCTCACGGGGACAATTTTGTCCGAGATCCTATGCCGCGAGACGTTCGGGAAGATGCGTGGGCTCACGCGGAGTAAAAGAAGAACGCGGGATCGGTGCGGAAGTCTGTCGAAAGAGAAAGAGAGAGGAAGAGAGAGAACACATTCCTGGCGACGGACCCAACCACACGCAGTTGTAGGGGCCGCCGTTGTGAATATCTTCTTCGGTGAAGCTCCCTATGGGGCACGAAGCGCTGCGCTGGATGGGGGGAACGCGTGCGGGCGGTAGCACTGGGGTCGTCCGTGGAGCTCCCTATGGGACCACAAAGCGCTGTGCTGTGTGTGTGTGTGTGTGTGTGTGTGTGTCTGTGGCACTGGGGCGTCGGTGGTGCTCCCTACGGGGCCACGAAACGCTGCGTTGGGTGGGGGGGCACATGCGGGCGGTAGCACCAGGACCTTCGGTGAAGCTGCCTATGGAGCCATCAAGCGCTGCGCTGGGTGGGGGGGGCGCATGTGGGCAGTAACGCTGGGGCCTTCGGTGGAGCTCCCGATGGGACTACGAAGCGCTGTGCGGGGGGGGGGCGGTTGCGGGCGGTCCCATTGGGGGCTTCGGTGGAGTTGCCTATGGAACCACGCAGCGATGCATTGGGTGGAGGGGAACGTATGCGGGCGGTCGCGCCGGGGCCTTCGGTGGAGCTCCCTATAGGGCCACGAAGCGCTGGGTGGGGGTGGGCGCATGCGGGCGGTAACACTGGGGCCTTCGGTGGAGCTCCTTACGGGGCCACGAAGCGCTGGGTGGGGGCAGCGCGTGCGCGCGGTAGTACCTTCGGTGAAGCTGCCTTTGGGGCCACGAAGAGCTGCGCTGGGTTGGGGGTGGGCGCATGCGGGCAGTGGCGCTGGGGTTTTCGGTGAAGTTCCCGATGGAGCCACGAAGCGCTGTGCTGGGTGGGGGGGGGGGCGGTCGCGGGCGGTCCCATTGGGGGCTCCGGTGGAGTTGCCTATGGGGCCACGAAGCGCTGCGTTGGGTGGGGGGGCACATGCAGGCGGTAGCACTAGGACCTTCGGTGAAGCTGCTATGGAGCCATGAAGCGCTGCACTGGGTGGGGGTGGGCGCATGCGGGCGGTGGCACTGGGGCCTTCGGTGGAGTTCTCCATGGGACCACGAAGCGTGTGAGGGGTGTGCCATATTGGGTGTGTGTGGGACGCATGCGGGCGGTCCCACTGGGGGGATCGGTGAAGCTCCCTATGGGGCGAAACTGCGTTGTGCTGGGCGGGTGAAAATACCAAATTGGGTGTGTGGGACGCATGCGGGCTGTCCCGCCGGGGGCGTCGGTGGAGCTCCATGTGGGGCCACGAAACGTTATGCGGGGTGGGTGAAAATGCCGCAGTGGGTGTGTGGGACGCATGCGGGTGGTCCCACTGGGGGTTTCGGTGGAGGTCCCTATGGGGCGAAAATATGTTGTGCTGGGTGGGTGAAAATACCAAATTGGGTGTGTGGGACGCTTGCGGGTGGTCCCGCTGGGGGCTTGAGCTCTCCATGGGGCCAGGAAGCGTTGTATTTGGCATGTGGAGATGCAAAATCTGGTGTGTGGGACGCATGCGGGTGGTCCCACTGGGGGCTTCGGTGGAGCTCTCTATGGGGCCACGAAGCGCTGTGCTGGGTGGGTTTTAATGTCAAATTGGGAGTGTGGGGCGCATGCGGGCGGTCCCACTGGGAGTTTCGGTGGAGCTCCCTATTGGGCCACGAAGCGCTGTATTGGGTGGGTGAAAATGCTAAATTGGGTTTTCCTGGGCGCATGCCGACGGTCCCACTGGGGGCTTCGGTGGAGCTCCCTATGGGGCCACGGCTCATTGCGCTGGGTGAATGAAAATGCCAAATTGGGTTTGCGGGGCGCATGGGCGTTGTCCCACAGGGGGTTTCGGTGGAGCTCCCTATGGGCCGACAAAACGTTGTGCTGGGTGACTGAAATACCAAATTGGGTTTCCGGGGCGCATGCGGACGGCCCCATTGGGGGCCTCGGTGGAGCCCCCTATCGGGCCGCTAAACGCTGTATTGGGTGAGTGAAAATGCCAACTTGGATTTCAGGGGCGCATGCGGACGGTCCGGCTGGGGGCTTCGGTAGTGCTCCTTACGGGGCCACGAATCGTTGCAGTGGGTGCATGAAAATGCCAAATTGGGTTTCCGGGGTGCGTGCAGACGGCCCCACTGGGGGCTTCGGTGGAGTTCAGTATGGGCCGACAAAACGTTGTATTGGGTTTGTGAAAACACCACATTGAGTTTGCGGGGCGCATGCAGACGGTCCCACTGGGGGCCGCGGTGGAGCTCCCTGCCGGGCCACTAAATGCTGTATTGGGTGGGTGAAAATGCCAAATTGGGTTTCTGGGGCGCATGCGGACGGTCTCGCCGGGGGCTTCGGTGGAGCTCTTCACGGGGCTGCGAATCGTTGCGTCGGGTGGGTGAAAATGCCAAATTGGGTTCCGGGGCGCGCGCAGACGGCCCCAGTGTTTCTTGCAACCCTCCTATGGTTGGGTACTCGTTGTGAATAGAGCAGTGTGGTCGCCCCGTCCTCCTCCTCCTCCCTGCTCCTCCCCTCCTCTTCTCTTGTTTCCTGTGTTCCCCTCTCCTCTTCTATCGTGCCGTCGGGCTGCGATCTGCGCAACTGTCGCCACTTTCTTGGGCTCCTGGGAGGCCCAGCGGAAGTACGTCCCACGCGGGCCACTTCGAGACCTCGCGGTGCCCTGGGGGGGCTGCGATTTGATGAGCAACTGTCGCCACTTTCGTGGGCTCCTGGGAGGCCCAGCGGAAGTACGTCCCACGCGGATCACCTTGAGACCTCGCGGCGCTCTGGGGGGCTGTGATCTGCGCAATTGTGGCCACTTTCGTGGGCTCTTGGGAGGCCCAGTGGAGATACGTCCCACGAGGACCACCTCGAAACCAGTGGCGCCCTGGGGGACTGCGATCTGCGCAACAGTCGCCACTTTCGTGGGCTCCTGGGAGGCCCAGCGGAAGTACGTCCCACGCGGACCACCTCGAGACCTCTCGGCGCCCTGTGGGGCTGCGATTTGCGCACTTGTCGCCACTTTCGTAGGGCTCCTGGGAGGCCCAGCGGAAGTACGTCCCACGCGGACCACCTCGAGACCTCGCGGCGCCCTGGGGGGCCGCGATCTGCGCAATTGTCGCCACTTTCGTGGGCTCTTGGGAGGCCCAGCGGAAGTACGTCCCACGCGGGCCATCTCGAGACCTCGCGGCGCCTTGGGGGGCTGCGATCTGCGCAATTGTCGCCAATTTCGTGGGCTCCTGGGAGGCCCAGCGGAGGTTCGTCCCACGCGGGCCACCTCGAGACCTCGCGGCGCCCTGGGGGGGCTGCGATCTGCGCAATTGTCGCCAACTATTTTTTTTTTCTTTTTTCGTGGGCTCTGGGAGGCCCAGCGGAGTAACGCCCCACGCGTACCACCTCGGACCTCGCGGCGCACCTGTGGATTGTTTGTGTTTTCTAGTCTTTCTTTTTTCGTTTTTTTGTGTTCTGTTTGGTGTGTGTTTTGTTTGCTTTGTTTCTGTGTTTTTTGTGTTTGGTGCTCGCCTTTCTTTTTCTTGCTGTTTTGTTGTCTTGCTTTTTGCTTGTGATTTTCTTGTTTGTGTTTCTTCCGTGTTGTTTTTTATCTCGTTTTGTGGGCCTTTTGTTTGTGGGGCTGCGATCTGAGCAACTGTCTTCTGGGCATTTTGGGCCGTGGGGCCTCTAGGCAGTCTTGGAGCGTCGGGAGGCTGAAAAGGCGAGAACGCCAAACACTTGGAGCACCAAGGGAAAACATTAGTTTTGGCCTCTTTGGGCCCTCTTGGGGCATCTTGGAGGACTCGTGGTCTGCTGGGGGCTATCTCAAGCGTCTTGGAGCGATCGTTCGGCGACTCGGGGCCCTCTTGGACCGTCTTCGGGGCCTTTCGGGCCCTCTTAGCCCGTCTTGGGGCCCTCAGGGGCCCGACAGACTATGCGGGAAGGCGCGACGGTGCCCAGAGAAACAGCGCCAAGCCTAAGAAGATTTGAGAATTTGTGGTCCATTCCCTTCACGAACCCTTAGGATCGGGGACTGCGGCGAAGGGGATTGGGCAAAGGAACTAAGGACCTGAGGACACGCTCACTCCGTGCGAACGCAGCCGCTGGGGCCTTGGGTGGAGCTCCCTACGGGGCCACGAAGCGTTGCGTGTGCCGAAATGGCGGGTGGAACCGCATGCGAACGCAGCCACTGGGGCCTTGGGTGGAGCTCCGCATGGGGCCACGACGCGTGAGGGATGTGCCCGCATACGAGCCTTGCCACGATGGCCTTCGATGGAGCTCCCTGTGGAGCCACGAAGTGTGTGAGGGGTGTGTTGAGATTGGGGGTGGAACATCATGCGAACGCAGCCACTGGGGCCTTGGGTGGAGCTCCCTGTGGCCGCACGAACCGTGTGAGGCGTGTGTCGAAATAAGGAGTGGAACCGCACGCGAACGCAGCCATTGGGGCCTTGGGTGGAGCTCCCTACTTGGCTCCAGCACACCTTTCCTTGAAAACGCACAATATGAAATACATAGATGTACACCCATCGGCAGGATGTAATGTTGCGCGCGCGTGCTCAGCGCTCGCGCGCACGCGATCCCAAGACGTCCTACGACCACAGCATTATTCCAGGAGGGCCTCAGGCCACGGACGATAACGTCCAGACGCTGGGATGATGCCACCCCAACACGATCCCGCCATGGATTCTGGACCGTCTCAGGCCTATTCGAAGATGGCCATACATGTGAGTAACGAGTGACGCCGAGATGGCCTGATGGCAACAAGATGGGTTCAAGTGCCCCCAGGGTGGCACGACGCGTGTGAGGGGGGGGTGCCGACATCGGGGGTGGAACCGCACGTGGACGCAGCCATTGGGGCCGTCGGTGGAGCTCCCCATGACGACACGAAGCGTTTGGCGCCGAAATCGACACGCGGAGCCCAGAGGCAAGGGATGGGAGGAGGGAGGAAGGGAGGAGGAGGAGGAGGAGGAGGAGGAGGAGGAGGAGGAGGAGGAGGAGGAGGAGGACCAGTGTAAACGCAAGACTCATCAGCGATATTGCAATCCAACCTCCCTCCAAGCTCCCCCTTCATGCGCCCCTACAAGGGTTCATTTTCACAGAAGGAACGGCCACGTTGGAAATCAACCGTTTGAAAATCCTGAACTGCGCCAGAACACTATTCCTGGCATTTCAAAACGTATTTTCTGGAACGTGACCATGCTAATCCTTGAAACAATTGCGAGTTCTTGAAACGAATGCACGCGGCGCAAGATGAGGAGGAGAAGGAGGAGGAGGAGGAGGCGGAGGAGGAGGCGGAGGAGGAGGAGGAGGAGGAGGAGGAGGAGGAGGCGGAGGAGGAGGAGGAGGAGGAGGAGGAGGAGGAGGAGGAGGCGCGGGGCGCTGCCTCCTCCGAGCGAGGGCCGAACACCACAGGATGGCCGGGGAAAGCCTCCTCGGGCCCGAGGGGCGCGGGGCGGTCCGTGGAGGAGAGCCGCGCGCTCTGCCCGCGGAGCGCCCGTGGAGCGATCGGAGCCTCTGCGGGCGTGGGCGGGCCCTCGTCGGGCGACGAAGTACATACACCTTAGGCGATGCTTAAGAAAACTTAAATTTTCGGCCAGAGTCTCGATTATTCTTAACGTTTCAATGTAAATCCTAAGACTTGAATGGAAATGTTGGGTTTTTATTCAAGTTCTGAGACTATGAATTTCTTAACCCATGATTTCTTAAGCATTTCGCAGGGTGTACATAGAGATCCACGGCTCCCCGGCCAGGCCATCCGGACCCCGGAGGCTGTGCAGGCGCCCTCCTGGCCGAGCCAGGAGGGCGTGGCGTGCGCGCCACTGCCGGGTTCAGACTGGGCCTGGCCAGGGAGCAGTGGCTGCGCATAGATCTCGTCGCCCCGCATCGGGCCCCTGTCGGCGACGGAATGGCGCCTGGGGGCCGATGCGTCCCCGGGCGCCCGACCTCATCCTTGAGACGCGTGCCTCTGGAGTCTGTGCTCCCCTGCGGGCGGGAGGGGCGGCCCGCCTTCCGAGGTCGCACTGCAGAGGGCAGCCTTCGAGTCCAAAGTCGTAGCTCGAAGCCGCGAGTCTGAGAACTGCTGTTCGTTCTTGACAAGGAGCGAGTGGTGTTCGCTAAGCTCGTAGCTCGATGAGAGCAGCTTCAAACCGAACAGGCGTGGACAAGTCCGTCCCCGAGCCTATCCCGTCGCCCCTGGAAGGATCGAGGACCAAGTCCTGTCGGGATGGCCTGCGAGTGGCAGGACCCAGGGACCGCTCTCTCTCGCCGAGCTTGGCCGCCGTTGCCCATGCGACAGAGTCCAGCTGGAGGAGACCGTGACAGCGTCTGGCGGCGGCGCCGCCCCGCGCCGAGGGCGTCGCATAGCGGCAAGACGCAGGGCGACCTCTCGCGCGGGCTGTCGGGCACCTCGAGCGTGTTCCGCTACTTCGCCGGCCAGTTCCACAAGGAGCTCCCCCTCCTCAGAGGAGGAACGGTACCCACAACACCGCCTCTGGGCGGCCCTCGCCACCGCTGGATTCGCCTCGAACTTCTGGAGAGGTCCGGAGAGTAGCAGTATCGGTGCCTTCCGTGTTCCCCACCTCCGGGATGGGGGGGAGGGGAGGGGAAGGAGGGGGAGGCGATGCCTGCGTGCGTCACTTCGAAGCGACGTCCGGCACCGTCACCACTCTGTGCAGCAAGGCTGCTGCGGGAAGGGCAAGGTCTTTCCTTCCCCCGCCCTCGGCAGCAGGTAGATTGGTACCGCTGTCGCGGATGAATCAATCATCTAAGTATCTGTGCCGCCTGCGTGATAATCACTCTTTGGCCGAAATGCTAGAAACGCTGGGGGGAGGAGAGGGGGAGGGAGGAGGGTGATGGGGGTGAGGAGGGGTAGGACAGATGAGGGAGGAGGAGAAGCAGTACGACGATGATGAGGGGTAGGAATGAGGAAAATCATGTGTTTTTGCTTCCATAACCAACCTGGTAACGCCTTGCCTCAGTTGGCCGTCTGTTCCCATGGCGGGCGGGCACACTGAGCAGGTGCCCCACATCCACCATTCCTTCACTTCAAAGCTATCTCCTCCTCCTGTTCAAGGGAGCGGCGCGCTTCGCCGAGGTATACCTTCGCGCTATAGTTATTCGGCCGTTGCGAAAGTTCGGCCCAACTGCAGCGCTACCCGTTAGGCCGGGGGCCCCAGTACATCGTTACCAGGGTGCGTCTCGGCGCTTCGGATAGCGATGGTAATTGCTTTCGCGCAGTTTTTTTCCACTGGCCCAGGAAGTTTCCACCTCTGTCGAAATGTGTGAATTGGTGAGTTCCCAGCGAAATCGCCGTTTCGTCTTCGGACCAGCGAATTTCGACCTCGTTCGAAGTTGTTCCAAGAGATATTCGGCGGAACCGCCAGTTCGAGTTCGAACCAGCCTGTTCCGACAACTCATCGAAGTCATTTGTTCTACGAAGTCCCGAGCAAGAGCCACCGGATCGATGCCAGGCGCGGGATGCGCGACTTAGCATATAGATGGGGAAGCAGGGGTCCAGGCGGGGCGGGGCGGAGGTGGGGATGTTTGCCCAGCTGTCAAAGCAGGCTTGCGAGTGCGACGTTGATCTGCGCGAGCGCCGCCGGCTAAGCTCGCGGGGGACAGGAGTGCGACGCGCGGTGGGCGCGCGCGATGAGACCTCCTCGTGAAGTTCGGTTTCGCCAGTGCGGCGGGCGTCGAGGATGGGCCCCTCGTCGCGCTGTCGCCCGTGATTTGTCGCAGAATGACATACTAGTCATGCAGTTGTATCCTTCTTCGCCCTGAAACACTATGCACTCGCGCCGAACATGAATATTCGCTGCTCGGGGGGGCTTCCGCGCAGAAGAGGCGGCATCCGCGCGGCAAACTATCCTCGGCATCACCCTAACATACTTATACTATATGTGCTTCGCCCCCCCGGAGGCGACGCGCGCACCGAGAAATCTTATAGTATATGCGTCGTGGGGGGCGCTTTCTGGCCACACCGCTCGGGAAACGATATACTACAAGATGGGTATACTATATGTTCGGGTCGGACGCGCGCCTCCAAGGAGGACATATAGTACTAGTATGTCTTTGTGCTTCCCATATCCGGGGCGTGCCGCGGTTGGGGCCCCGAGAACCCGCTCTGCATTCTCGATGGACATGCGGTCGAGAGTGCTTGCGCCGGCCGCGCGGACGCAGCTCGGGCCGGCCAGGGTCCCGGGCCCCGGGGGCCCCTTGGGCGGGGCGGTCTCGAGAGACAGGGGGGAAGGTCGGCGACCGCCTCGTCGGGTGACCTCGCGAGTTCGGCCCCCGTGGGAAGAAGGCGCTCGGTGATGCAGGGGGCCCCCGCGGCGCCGCCTGTGTGTTGACGACGGGCTCGGCGCCTTGATCGACTCGTTTGTCGGGAGATGCGGGGGGCGCCGCTGGGGCTTCCGCTCGCAAGTGTCCGCCGATCGTGGCCGGGGCCCGTCGATCCCCGGCCTCTGTTTCGCCGGCAGTTCCTGGGCCCCGGGGCGCGCCCGAAGGGAGATGCAATTGCGACCGCAAATTGGTCGCAGATTTGCGAGAGGGCGGATGCGAGGTGGGCCGCGGCGATTGTTCGTCGCCCAGCGCGTCGTTCCCCGAGGCCCCCTGCTGGAAGGGCCAGAACATCTCGGGCCCCCCGGCCAGGAGGGCATCGAGGTTTCAGGGGCGATGCTTTCCCGCGGCGGACGCGACGAGAGCGATGGGACGCAGAATCTCACGGGCCTCGAAGACGCGGCTACGTTGGCGCTCTGTCCTTCGCCAGCGTTGCGCGCCGCTCGAGAAGCGGCTCCTTCCGCGCGGCTGCGTGGCGAGCATTGGCTTGTCCGGGGAGATAAGGGGTGGGCGCCCAGGAAGGGCCAGCTCGCTGAGCTCATGGCCCTCCAGGACACGGCGCGCAGCTTTGTTTCCGGTCTCCTAATAGAGAGCAGTCAAGGGCCCTGGGGCGAGTTCATGGTTCGCACCTGCGGCAAGGTAACCTCGGTCAGAAAGAAGCTCGGCATTCTTGATTGGGATGAGTATCTAGTGCAGATGCAGCATCGTTGGGCTGGTCATTTTGCGTCCTCGAGCGTGAGGGGCCCCGCCCGTCTCAGCTCGCAGATCCTGCATTTTCGCGACGCCAGGTTCCTCCGCCGTTAGGGGCAAGTTCTCGGCGGTGGGCGTCAAGGCTACGCGCGTGAGCTTTGGCTATGAAGATGTGGGTCTTGTCTTTTCCGTCGTCGTCGCCTCCCTGAACCTGAGAACCGAGTGTCCCGGAGGAGTGAGCTTTGGCTGCGTAACTTGAGTATGGTAGTTCAATGACGTTCGCGCGCACGCTTCTAACGTTTATGGGTTGCCCCAGGCGTCTAAATCCTCCCAGCTCTGGCCAGGGCAAACTTTTCACGTTCTTGCTTACATCGTCGCCTCATCGTTCTCATTATCACCATCATCATCATCATCAGCATCATCATCATCACCATTGCCATCATGATCGCCGGCGCCATCATCGCCATCATTTCTGTCGTCATCAGCATCCGCACCATCAGTAGTCCTGCGCGCGTGGCAGGCCCCTGGATTTCACTGGGCTCGCCGCGCTCCGCTGCCCTGTGGGGCCGCGCCGCATCGTGCGCGAGATTTGGTGGAATGGATCCTCGCCCGTGGCGGGTTCGCAGACATCGAGCGCTGCGTGCCGGAGCTCTCTGCAGGGAGGCTGGCGGCGAGAGCACCGAGGCGCGAGTCGACCTCTTGGTGAGCTGACTTGGCCTGCCCGCGCCTACGGAAGTGGACGTCGCCGTTCGCTCGTCCAGCGGTTCCAGACCAGCTAGGCGCGCCCCCAGCCATGCGGCCCTCGACGCGGAGCGGCGCAAGAATGGTTGGCACGGTGCTTTCGCGGTTGAGATCGGGGGCCAGTTCGGCCCAGCTGCGCAGCGTTTCGTGGCGGGCGTTTCCACCGTTGCGAGGCGCGCCGCTGTCCTCCATGGCGAGCCGCACGGCCGCCTCGACATGGACTTCGCGCAGCAGGTTTCGCCCAAGGTTTCCGGTGCCCTCACCGCGCACCTGGCCGAGCTGCTGCTGGCAGCCGTTGCAGACCCGCGGCTGGGCGCGCGCGGGCTTCTTTGAGCGGCCATCCATTGCATCATTGTGTTATGTGCTGTGCGACTTACCAGTTGTATGAAACTGCTCTACGATCATTACCACCACCACTATCATCATCATCATCATCATCATCATCATCATCATCATCATCATCATCATCATCATCATCATCATTATTATCATCTTCATCATCGCCATCGTTTGCATCATCGTCGTAGCTGTCACTTTCATCATCGTCATACCCAGCACCACCATCGTCATCATCATCATCGTCATCATCATAAGCATCATCATAAACATCATCATCATCATTTTTGTCCGCATTTTTCAGTCCGCGTTTTTGCGGCGGCGCAACCGCGAAGGAGATGGGCGGCTCCGTGGTCGAAATGAACCCGCTCGGGGTCGTGCCGCTCGGAGAGGATCTCAACAAGTCCTGGAAGTGGCCTGCGGGGCTCCGGCCAAGCTGGTTCGTCCAACCCGCACTCAAAGTCCCCACTGCTCGCACCGCATGTGTTATTTCGAACGAAGTAGTGGTGGCAAGTCTGTGGGGCCATGGGCGCGGGGGGAACTTTGTCAAGCTGGGAACGCTTTGCCGTCTTGGCCCCGTTGACTTTTGGGGTCGGAGGGTAATCGTTGCAATGGCAACGGGGACGCTGCCCCTCAGATGTTTCGGTTTCGCACGAGCCAGCATCAATCAGTTTTGTGGTTTTGGCGTGCTTTTATTTGGTTGCGCGCTGCAGTTCTTGGCGTGGGAATGAAGCGGGGGAGGGGCGGTTGACGAGGAGGAAAAGGCGAGGGGAAAAAGGAAAACGAAAGGGAGGAGGAGGAGGAGGAGGAGGAGGAGGAGGAGGAGGAGGAGGAGGAGGAGGAGGAGGAGGCGGCAGGAGGCAGGAGGAGGAGGAGGAGGAGGAGGAGGAGGAGGAGGAGGAGGAGG